AGATTTTTCAGAGGATATGTACTGAGTACAATAGAAGCAAAGTGAATCATTGTTGATGATAGCTTGTGTATATATTGCCTTTTTCAGATTGTTTTTTGTTTCTGTCCTTGAGTTTCTCTGCCCACTGCCTGAAATTGAATGCCAGGGTGTAGAAAGCTCAGCTGTTTTTTCACTGATTTTGTTTGTCTAAGCCTAAGGGGATTGATTTCCCTTTCATCCACTCAATAAATCAAACATATCCAATATAAGTTGTTTCCTAGTGCTGGATGATCTCAAAACATAAAGCTGATGGGATACATAACTAAATTTACCTTAATGGGTGTAGTGTTATAAGTGCTATTGCACTTAATATAAGATAGCATCTGAGTGTATAATGGGTATTTAGTTGTGCAAAGATCAGCATATTTCACTCCAAAAGGCCAGAAAAGTACAGATTTCAGAGGCCTGATTTAAATGTACCTTCCCTCCCCCCTCCCCCAATCCCAATGGAACTGTCCATAATATCTGCACCCAAACTTGGCAGAGCCACATAAAACCAGATCCCTCCAACTCTCCAGGATACTTGCTAGCATTACTCCATTTCAGCAGCAGTATCATGGCCTCTTGGGGAGGCACTGGGCAGGTTGGTAGCTGTATTATTTCACAATCTCCCTCCGTTCCCTCCATGTGAATTCCAGACCTGTGCAATGTGGTGTGTAAGTGTGTGTAATCTTGAAGGTTAAATGTGGATGCATTGGTATCTGACAACATAGGTAATATTGCAAAGGGGGGAGGAAGGGAAGGAAATAGTGCAAAATATTTTTTTGTTCAACAGATAAGTGTTAGATGACTCAAAACATTGACAATTATTTTTAAGCTTTTTCTTTTTTCTTTTGGGACCATCTTTTTGGATGTTTGTTTAGGAGTCTTCCCACACCTACAAAAAGAAAAAATTAAAATCTTATTTTGCTTCTCGTTCTGTTTTAGCAGGTGCATGTCCCTAGGCACCTAAGCAGTATTCTTAGAATCATGGAATATCAGGGTTGGAAGGGACCTCAGGAGGTCATCTAGTCCAACCCCCTGCTCAAAGCAGGACCAATCCCCAGACAGATTTTTACCCCAGTTCCCTAAATGGCTCCCTCAAGGATTGAACTCACAACCCTGGGTTTAGCAGGCCAATGCTCAAACCACTGAGCTATCCCTCCCCCCTCTTTCACCTCATGCGCCATCTGCCATGGGAGCCCTTATCCCTTGCCTTGCTTCATCCCTCTTCCTAAGCAAGGAAGGGACTCATGAATTTTGGAGCGAGGAGGGAAGCTGAGTGAGAGTTGGGAAGACAAATACCTCTCTCTTCGTTCTAGGTTATTGTGTTTCTCTGTTCTGACATCTCTTCGTACGCCACCACTTTCTCTATGCTGCATGGAGAGGGCAGTTCTCGCTTAAGCTGTAATTACACTCCATACCAGCAGGGGAAGTCAGCATCACAAATACTGTACTGCAGTCCACTCTGTTGCAGAGCCAGTCCAAAATGTCTTAATTTTGGATGTGAATAATTAATTTGCTTTGCTAGTACTGACTCTGACTTCAGTGGCCAGACCAGACCTATGCATAATGCAATGGGTCTACAGCAGCTGGAATAGAAGAAATTGGGAAAAGTATTGAGTGTCACTTTCCCAGACCTGAGGAAGAGCTCTGTGTAGCTCAAAAACTTCTCTCTCATCAACAGAATTTGGTCCAATGAAAGATAGTATCTCCCCTACCTTGTCTCTCTAACATAGTGAGTTAATCAGTGTTTTTGTTTCAGACCAACAAATGCGAACAGAATTGTTCAGCTCCAGTGACAGTAGTGAGAAAACCCCAAAGAAGGAAATTTGTTTAAATGACACTATACACCAGCTGAAATTCTACAGGGGCTTGTTTTGTTGACATTGAATGTCTGGCTTGAGGGCTAAGAGTCCTTAGGTGTTCCTTGGATGCTTGATTTTTCTGACTGCTCACTAAACAATTCAGATTATTGTTCTTGTATAAGACCCTAAGTAGTTATTTGGTATATGTCTCAGTTAACACAGAAATAGTGCGGTGTAGGGTTTGACTCTCTTCGGTTAAGTCAGTAACATGATTGGTAAGTGGGAATGATCAGTTAGCTCCTTGTTTATAGTCTCCATGATTTGTCAAGGTCTTCAACGTGGAAGAAGAAAAATCACAAGTTCCCTCTTTTCTTCCTCTGTGCCTCTAACTCAGATACTTTCGCTGAAGGGCAATGATAAACAGCATTTTCAGTCCCGATGAGTTTTCCTTGTCAAATAAAACTTGGAGACCCAGTAACCACTTTTTTTTTTTATTAGAATCCAAATACATCACTACTTCTGCATTCTCCTTATCTTTATACTGTAATTCTTGTATTAAAAAGCAACAAAATGGGCTTCAAGTTAAAGTTAGCTATTTTAGAATTTCAGTGGGTTATAATACTAGAGAGGACATTGTCTATCACAGAAAACTATTCAAAAATCAAGAGTTTCTGAAAAGAGGCCATTTTAGGGGAGGAGAAAATTCACAAACTTAGTCTACGTTGTTTTCCTTTTAAAAAAAATGTTTCTAATTGGAAAATTGAAAAGTTTCCTCGTAATATGCTCAGCCCCCACAAGGGAGGTTTCCTTATTACCCTCCTATGATGCTTCCTGTTGACTGCCTCTGGAGGGAGCTTCAGCCAGAAAGGCGCTGGCCCAGCATACAATTAAAGGTGAAACTAGAAAGGAAAGTCCTCCCTGGGACTTGGAGGAGGTGAGGCTAAGGCAGAGAGAAAGAGAAGTTTCCTTGAACATAGTCTATGATGTAATAAATCAGGGGTTGGCAACCTTTCAGAAGTGGTGTGCTGAGTCTTCATTTATTCACTCTAATTTAAGGTTTCCCGTGCCAGTAATACATTTTAATGTTTTTAGAAGGTCTCTTTAAGTCTATAATATATAACTAAACTATTGTATGTAAAGTAAATGAGGTTTGTAAAATGTTTAAGAAGCTTCATTTAAAATTTAAATTAAAATGCAGAGCCCCCCGGACCGGTGGCCAGAACCCGGGCAGTGTGAGTGCCACTGAAAATCAGCTCGCGTGCCACCTTTGGCACGTGTGCCATAGGTTGCCTACCCCTGTAGTAAATTGTACAAACCCAATGTAATTTGTTTCCTGACTTTTCTATAAGTGGAAGAACGCACTGAGGCATTACCATGCGGCATCAACTAGGTCTTAGAGAAGTTAACTTTTTTTAATTTAAAAAAGAAAAATAAAACAAACTTGAAATATAGCTTTATTGGCCACATTGTAACACTTCAAATTGTGTTTATCATCTTTCAGCTATAAAAATAAAGGGTTAAAAGTCTGTCAAACTACATAGCTTTGTACATTCTAGCTTTTAAGTGTAGAAAATTATTTAACATAACAAATCTTTAGTCTTCAGGTGTTGGTCTTGGCGATCAAATGCACATCATTTTGGGTGGCATTCTTACTGTAATAGGTCAAATGCAGAGATGATATGATGCAAGTTAAATCGTAAATGAGTGTAAATTACATCCCAAGGGGACATACAGGTTGTCCTGTGGTCAAGAAAGATGTTACATCCTAAACCACCTTTTGCCTTCCTGTTAAAGTAGAAGATGGGAGCCTGCTTAATCTTCTTTTCCCGTGAATTGCATTTACTGCTACAACTCATTTTTTCCAACATCAGCATGGAAGTTGCATCCATTTGCTGATTCATTTAAACGACCATTTAGATCACCTCTGAATGTGGCCTAATGTCTGCAGAGATTGTGTGACTCAAAATGAGATTGGGATGAAGTGAACTTGGTCCTGTTAGTGAAGCTATGCGGGAATTGGGGACTGAAAAAGATTTTTTTCTCCTAGAACTGACTTGCACTGAACTGCAGATGTCTGATAAATAGGCTACACTTGTTCCTTTCACTCCTCTCTTCTATCTATGTTCACAAATAAGCTTTGCTCTCTGATCTTGCCTTTTCTCTTATATCTTATCAGTGGAGCATGCTCTAGTGCATGTGACATCTGATCACTTCTGTGGTACCTACAGATTGTTAAGTGCAAACAAGAGCACATGCAGAGTGAATGCTTCCTTAAGCTCTCAGAGGAGTTAGGGCTTGGCCTTGAAGTCAAAACACTTGCCAAGTGGTGCTAAGGTGTTTCAATGAAGCTGTGGGGAGAGTTATCTGATTTCTTTTCCTAGGCTTTTGTTTGGACTGTCACTGTGCCAAGCAATCTTAGTTTGCAATTTTGCTTGTTGATGGACCTGTAGAGGGAGAGACTACTATTCCAGTCTCATTTCTGGGTTTAAAAAAAAAAAAATCTGAATTTTATACTGCTGTGTCTTTGTCTATCCTCCATTCTCCAGCCCTGTTCTTTTAGATACAGAATATGTAATTGTTTCTTGTTGCAGTTTTGAAATAAGCAAAGGCGTATTGTCTAACAAATTAATTTTAATGCCTGGCACTTAAACAGTACCTCTGTCCAAAGACCTTAGGGGGGTTTACAAGCATTAATTAAACTTCAAAGCACCTTATGAGATAAGTGTTGTTACACTCCATGTTCCAGTGCCTCATTTAAGTGACTTTTCATGCTAACATGTTGGAGAGTAGCAGACTGTAGATAAAATCCTTATTTGCAGTCTCTTGCGGTCTGAAAATTTTATCCCAAACTCTGTTTTATCAAAAATGAATTAGGTGTCTAAGCTTCATTGAAAGTCAATGGGATTTAAGGTGCAAAGTTGTATTTTCATAAGTGACTTAGGTGCTTTTGAATTTTTTCCCCCTTACCATTGCCATATTGCAGCATACTGCCTGCCATTCTACGTGAGCATTGCTCCTGTCAGAGGACTGGAAATATTCTTCTAAATAAAGACCTGGTAGGAAGCATTGTAGAGCCAAATAAAAAAGTAATGTGTATAATTTTTAATATAACCATTGATATACTGTCAATATCTGCTCATATTTAAAGTTTGCTTTGAATTTTTTTGTCTTTAGGAGAAGCCAAAAATCTTCCTACGTATCCGGGGCCAAACAAGATGAGGGATTGCTACTGTACTGTAAACCTGGACCAGGAGGAGGTTTTCAGGACCAAAATAGTGGAGAAATCACTATGGTAACAAATATTTCTTGTGTGCAGATATATTCAGTCAGTTCTTTGAACACCCTAGAACATTTCTGTTTATATTATATTTCTATAGTATTCCAATCCTTTGGTGGGATGGAGAAGAACATAGCTGATTTTTTTTAATTGTAGGACTATAATAATAGCATTATTATGGACCTCATGGCCTGGCATCTAACTATATGTTTTTATCATTTACGTGTGAAGAGGTTCTTGTCCTGAGAGGAAGCACATAATTAGTTTCCAAGGAGGTTACAGTTAATGCAGCTCTCTAGGTTACTTGCTTTTGAACTTCCTTTATGCTTTTTAGCTGTCAGTTTAACCGTGCCATTTAATCCAACTGTCAGGGATTTTTCCTTCATACTGTTGTTATAACTGCTGCTCTATCAGAGCTGAAAACCACAGTGGGGTTTTGTTCTGCACATTCCTGGAGGTGCAAAAGTGGGGGAGAGGGTAATTAGACTACAAGAAAGGGAAAAGCAGTTACAGCGAAATCCTGAGATGGCAGGTACAGTGCTAAGTTTTCTGAGATCCCTCTGTCCTGCAGCTGGCCAGCTTTGCTCTTTTGAGAGGCAGTTGGAGGTGAATGGGAGTGTTTCCTTCTCCTCCAGCCACTCTGAAACTACTAGATCACTTGGGTATTCAGGCAAAGCAAGAGCAAAAAGGGGTTTCAGAAGTCAGCTTTTTTCTCTGCGTTCCCTACTTGCTGGTTAACTGTCTCCTGGGGGGAAGGTGTGGAATGCTTTTCCCCCAGTGACACATCCTAGGATGCTGACCCCCTTATTAGAATCTAGTTGTCCTCTTTCTCCAGGCACTTTACTGGCCTCCTTGGTGGTAGTGCTCTTCATTATACCCGCTGCTGCTGACCTGTGATCTTGTGGCTAAAGCCTTGTCTACCTTCAACATCTGAGTCGACTGTAACTATCAGATTATAGCTGCACTGATGCTTGCCTGTAGTGCAGACAGAAAAAACAGCTATTTGCACTGGGGCAGTTTGCCATGGTTTAATGCACCACCAGTGCCAATAGGCTGGCCACACTAGGAATTTGCATCAGTGCAGCTACAGTGATGGCTGCCTTTGGGATAAATCCCCAATATAAGCAATGCCTAAAACATAGGCTTGGAAGTTGGGAGAAATGGCTTCTAAGGTGCTCCCGTACTGTGTGATAGGTGTAGTATAAGACTAAACTAGCCAGGAGTAAAATAGTAGAATGGAATGGAATAGGTACAGACTCACAGCAAGGAGTGGAACTTCTGTTGGGGCCCAAAAATGCCTAAAATATAGAGAGAACAAGTTTAGGCACAGACTTTCAGCCTTTAAGGCCAGAAGGGACCATCATGATCATCTAGTCTGACCTCCTGCACATCATAGGCCATACCCACCCATTCGAGTAATAGGTCCATAACCTCTGGCTGAGTTACTTAAGTCCTCAAATCATGATTTAAAGACTTAAAATTATGTAGAATCCACAATTTACTCTAGTTCAAACCAACAAGTAATCTGTGCCCCATGCTGCAGAGGAAGGAGAACCCCCCCCCTCATGCCCCCATCCCTGGGTCTCTGCCATTCTGACCTGGGGGGAAAGTCCATCGCCATATTTGGGGTCAGAAGAGTTAGACCCTGAGCATATGGGCGAGACCCACCGGCCAAAAACTTAAGAATTCTCTGTAGTAACTCAGAGCCTTCCCCATCTATTATCCCTTATCTGCCTATTGGAGACATTTGCTGATAATATTCATGGATGGACCATATGCCATTGTAGGCAATCTCATCATACCAGCCCCTCCATAAATTTATGAAGCTCAGTCTTGAAACAAATTAGGTTTTTAGCCCTTCCCCTTGGAAGGCTGTTCCAGAACTTCACTCCTCTGATCATTAGAAACCTTGATCTAATTTCAAGCCTAAACTTATTGATGGCCAGTTTATATCCACTTGTGCCAACACTGGCCCCTAACTTAAGTAACTCCTCTCCTCCCTGGTGTTTATCCCTCTGATGTATTCATAGAGACCAATCATATATGCTTTGAGCCTTCATTTTGATAGGTTAAACAAGCCAAGCTCCTTAAGTCTGTTCATGTAAGTAGGTTTTCCATTCCTCTGATCATCCTCGTAGCCCTTCTCTGCACCTGTTCCTGTTTGAATTGATTTTTCTAGAACATGACAGACCAGAATTGCACACAGTATTCCACATGAGGTCTCACCAGTGCCTTGTATTTGGTAATAACACTTCCCTGTCTCTACTAGAAATACCTTGCTGATGCAGGTTAGGACTGCATTAGCCTATTTCATAGCTGCATCACATTGGTGGCTCACAGTCATCCTGTGATCAACCAGTACACCTAGGTCTTTCTCCTCCTCTGTTGCTTCAAACTGATACATCCCCTGCTTATAGCAAAAATTCTTGTTGTTAGTCCCTCAGTGCATGATCTTGACCTTTACCCTCTTAAATTTCATCCTGTTTCTATTATGCCAGTTTTCAAAGTCCTCCATATTTTCTAGTATGGTATTCCAGTCCTCCCCAATACCTCCCAACTTTGTCATCTACAAATTTTATTAGCACAATCCTACTTTTTGTGATCAGGTCATTAAAGAAAATGTTAAATAAGATTGGTCCCAAGACCAGTCCTTGAGGAACTCCACTAGTAACCTCCTTCCAGTCTGACAGTTCACCTTTCAGTATGACCTGTTGTAGTCTCCCCTGTAACCAGTTCTTTACCTACCTTTTGATTCTTGTATGAATTCTTATCTTCTCCAATTTAACAAATAATTTCTCACGTGGAACTGTATCAAAAGCTTTACTGAAATCTAGGTAGATTAGATCTACTGCATTTCCTAGAAAATCTGTTATCTTCTCAAAGAAAGAGATCAAATTGGTCTTGCATGATCTACCTTTTGTAAAACCATGTTGTCGGTTTGTTTGTTTTTTAAATCACAGTTACCATTTACTTCTATGTCCTTTACTCTCTCTCTCAAAATATTTTACAACTGAGGTCAACTAATGGGCCTGTAGTTTCCTGGATCACTTTTTTATCTTTTTTAAATATAGATACTGTATTTGCAATTCTTCAATCATAAAGTATGACCCTCAAGTTTACAGACTCATTAAAAATCCTTGCTATTAGGCTTGTAATTTCACATGCTAGTTCCTTTAATATTTTAGGGTGGAAATTATCCAGTCCTCCCGATTTAGGTACCAGTAAGCTGATTGAGTTTAGCTTCCATCCTGGATGTGGTAATTTCTACTTCCATACCTTTGTTCACATTAGCCATCCTGCTACTCTCTCTAAGCCTCCTCATTATCCATATTAAAAACTGAGGCAAAGTATTTGTTTAGGTGTTGGATCATACCTAGATTATCTTTAATTTCTACCCCATGCTCAGCATTTAGCAGTCTCACTTCTTGTTTCCATTTTTTCCTTTTTATTTATATGTCTAAAGAACCTTTTACGAATGGTTTTAATGGCTTTTGGCAGTTCTCACTTTTTTTCCTACACTTTCTGACCTCTAAGAGGTAGCTTTTCTTGCTCATCCAGCCCTCCTTCCATTCCTTATAGGCCTTCTGCTTTCTTTTAATAACCGTTTGAGACTCTTTTTCATCCAGATTGGACTACAACCCTTCTCTACAATTTTTTTCCTTTCCCTTGGGATGCAGGGTTCAGATAGTTTCTACAACTTTGAATTAAAGTAATTCCAAGCCTCCTCTACATTCAGATCCTTGAATTCTTCAGTCCAGTCCAACTCCCTAACTAATTCCATTAATTTTTTTTTTAAAGTTTGTCTTTTTTAAATCACGGACCTTTGTTGCAGACTTATTTTTGCTTATCCTTCCATTTAGTTTACACTGAATTAACCCATGATCACTCAAACTCAGGCATGTATGTACTCTGGAAAAAAGGGATTTCCTTCCCCCCCAGAATTAATTTCTGTCACCTTATATTTAAATAAAGAAAGCTGGGTGGAGGGGGCTGCATATGTATATTTAACACGCAAGTCAGTGATGGAATCAGAGTTAGGGTTTACTTTAGAATTCACTACCTATCTCCTGTTATCATATTCATAGATTACAAGGCCAGAAGGGATCATTATGATCATCTAGTCTGATCCCTTGTATAACACATGCCATCAAACTTCAAAATAATTCCTGCAGTATAGCTTTTAGAAAAACATTCAGTCTTGATTTTAAATGTGAAACATTTACATTGGAAATATTCAGTTGTTTAGCTGATGAGATTATAGATAATAGGTGTGACTTTCAAAAGTTCCTAACTGATTTAGGAACACAAGGCCTATTGATTTTCATAGGATTTGTCCTCTCAAGTTACTTAATATTAGCCCACATAATTTTAAGATTCCTGCACTTAATATTTTTCTTGTGACCTTTATCTTGGGTCTTTATTGTGTTCTGCATTGAGGCAAGAAAGACGGAGATGCAAAATGTATAGTGTAGATTTTGACCCTCACAAATTGTAGATTGATGGCCACATATAGTTAGGACAATTGTGTTTTATCATGAAGTTGTTAGCACCTTCCAGTTTAATGGAATTGGTTAGTAATGAATGACATAAAGTTGCTGTCCAAAGTTCTTGCTGTAATTAAGAATTTGCCACGTCTAAAGCTTGAAATAGTTCTACGAAAGTAATTTTGCAGTTGTCACTTAATTTCTGTCCTGATTCAAGCAAGTGTAATCTTGTTGCTCAGAACTAGGAATTACACAGGTGGTGGGGTTTTTTTTTTCTGTTGGATGATCATTAAACCACTTCACAGGAGGGCTTACTGTTTTAGTTGACGTCATTTCACTGGATTAATCCAATCATTATTTTCCATTGAGAAAATAAGCTTTTATGTTATAGGAATAACAACTTTCCTTGGGAGAAATTCCATCTGTCTTTAGACATATTTAAATTAAAGTGGTAGGCTGAAGTCAGTCTGAAATCAGCAGGTTAGGGTGCTCATGGGAAACTACAATCCTTTCATCCTGAAGTGTTGACCA